GAGCTTGGCATCGGAAGTCATGGTGGGAGTCGATTTCAGGGAGGTAGACGACGGGAGGAGGTGATCGGTGCTGGAGATGGTCGGAGGTGGGAGGAGACGGAAGAGACGACCGGTTTTGGAGGTGTGTATCAGTGTATGAGGGTAAAAAGGGGAGGAAGCGTGTTTTTTTTCAGATACAATTTGAAGTCTGAAAGTTTAAGAGGTTTTTATAAAATTAAGAGTCCTTTATTCCTATGCTACCAAACACTCTTAATCTGAAAAATTAAGAGTTTGCCTCTTAATTTGTCAATTAAGAGGCTACCAAACAGCCCCTTAGTCAATACTAATCCAATTAAGAGCATCTGCAATGGAATCTTATTTTTTTGCTTATTACTATTTACTTATTAATATTGACCACTTATTTCCATCGGAGCACATAACTTTTTTATTTCTTTTTATTAACTACTCAATATATATTGAATGATCAATATAGTTTAACATTTTGTATATTTTACCCCCTCATCTTTTAGTTATATTTTAATTTACCCCTTAATTGTATTTTAGTATTCAATTTATTTATTTATTTACTGGTTAATAAATTTTTTATCAAATATTTAGTGACATTTTATTTATTAATATAAATATAACGATTATATAATATTTTCAAACATGATGTGTGTTTATATTTTCGTTTGTTTAAAACATGATGTGTGTTTAAAAATGAGTAACTCAATGGAGGGATTATATAGAACATTTTAAATAGATAAAGATAAATTAGTTAAATTTAGAAAAAAAAGTTATTGAAGAGGTTAACCATTGGAGTGATCATTTAATTAGATGTTAAAGTTAATGAAATGATGATGTGTCAATAACTTTAAGCTATAGTATAGATTAACCATTGAAGATGTTCTAATATGATTATGGAGCCTAACTTTAGCCAAAACAGTTCAGAATAACCACAAAAAAATTAGCTTATTCTCATCTCATATGAGATAGATATGAGGTTCTAAATTGGTACATGAATTTCTTCTAACCTGATCGTACCGGAACCAAAAACACCAATAGCAATTTTGTGGAATTGGAGGAACCGAGTAAAAACTGATTTATCATATAAAGTACAGTTCGACACCAATGATATTTTTACTCACCTTATTTTGGCCTATTAAATATAACAATTTTTTTTATCATTTATGATAATATTTTTGATAAAAACTTAAATAAAAAACATTAATAGAAGTATTTGGTAAAATGTTACATGACCTCTTAAAATTCTATTCCCATTTTATGCAATTAGTGGGTTAGTCTGTTATTTTGAATACTCGATTACTAGACTTTTGTTGTTTATTTTCATTTATTTGTCAAAAAAAAAAAATGAAGGATCAAATCAATACCACAGCCACAAAAAGGAGGTCAAATCAAATGCAAATACTTAATCTATATATCAAGAGGAAAAAAATAACAAATAAATAATTGAAATTTTTTTTGAGTAAACTAACCCGAGGTTTTCAAAGAAAATAACCAATTTTTTTTTTCAGTTTTTTAAAAATAACAACTTTCTCCGGAATGTCTAATTATATTTTTCATATTCCGGAGTGTTTTTTTTATTATTTATTTTCAAAGAATTTTTTATTTTATTTGGGATTCCAAATGTTATATTTCGAAATGTTTAATGTCATCATTTCTCAATAAAATGTCTAATTTTATGCACTAATATCGTATATAGTTCACATTAATATGTTATTTTAACCTTTTGTTAAATTTAAGTAAAAAATGATTTTTTTTTCTTAAAATTCCGGAATTGTTCTTGAAATTTCAGAGTTTTTTTTTTTTTCGAAATCCGAAATTTTAGTTCGGAATACGGAATTCCATTAATCGGTCAAAAAAATGTTTTTTTGTCCGGAATAACATATTCCGGACAAAGTGGTTATTTTTGGCAAAAAAAAATGGGGTTATTTTTTTGAAATACACATTAAAAAGTTGTTAGATTGCTTAATTTCCAAAAAAAAACATTTATATAGATAGTGTTTTGGTCAAATAAATGGTAAAAATGTAAAATATATTTTCTAGTTAATTTACATTTATACCCCATAGACTATCCGACATGTTTTGTTTACGCCCCATGCCACCGTGAACACCATCTTACCATTGTACATCATCAAAGACTTGAGGAGCATGGACCCATTTTGCAGAAATTTGTGGTCCTTGGACTGACTTGTTGAGGCTTACCAAGTCCAGGTTAGTTCCCGTTTTCCCACCCTCAGCTCCACGTCAACCACCAAACTCCTTTGGGATTTACACCTGATAGCCTAACACAAAGTCTAGACGTGGTGGCTAATGGTACTCAGCCATGCATCCTCCATAGAACGACCCTTCGTGTAGAATCATTTATTATGTTACATTGCAGATACTTTTGCCAAACATTAAGATTGCGTTTAGTTACAAAAAAACAATTTTCATTTTTCGTTTTGGTTTAAAAAACGGTAGCGGTGGTAAGGTGGGCGTGGGGACGGTGGCGGTGGTGGGGGCGGGGGCTTGGGAGTGAGTGGAGGTAGGTAGGGGTGTGGTGGGTTGGGGGTATTAAGGTTAGGGTGTGTAGAGGTGGGTGGGGTGGGAGTGGGTGTTTATATTTTAGAAAAATTTTGGAATTAGAAAAATGTGGAAAACAATGATTATCGGTTTTCCAAAAATTTTCAATTTCTTTGTAATTTTAGAAAACGGAAAAATTTAGAAAAATAGACGAATTAAACGTGTTTTCAAAATTTTCATTTTTTTGGAAATTTTTTCTGAAAAGCGGCCAATTTTTCCGCAACTAAACGCATCCTAAGGCTCGAACAACAGCTGTTGCTGCAATTATCGGTCAAGCTTTGCAATTCAATTAAACTATTAAAGCTATTACCGATATGAGCAATATACAAGTTGTCTTTGGTGCTGCGATTATACGATTTATGGACTTGAATGGAAACTTTAGGGTTTGGGGGGTTGAATCGACGTTGGGGGTTAATTTGCTGTTTTTGGTGCATTGTGACATTCACTTCGCTATTGTTTGCATATTGTAATTGCTTCTGCAAAAAGGTTAGTCTTCATATCCCAATTGAAATTCCCATACTCTTACTAGCTATTCCAACCCTTTACCATTTATGCAAATAAGACACATTTTGTAGTTGTTAGTACAGATCTTGGTAGTTCGTGATACAGTTTAAGGTTGCTTTCTGTGTCATATTTTGAGCTAACCGAATTTGTGCATGTCTATGTGTAATTTGTTTGTGCATTTCTTTGTAACTTGTGAGCAAGTTGTGTAGAGCATAATATAGATCTCAACTATTGGTCCCGGAAGGATGGGCAAAGATTCTAAAAGAAAAGATATCTTTGATAGTGGAGCCTTTTTCTTCAGATTCCAGTCTTCATATTGTTAATTGGTATATTAAAAATCATTATTATATATATATATATATATAATATATATTATAATATAAGATATATATATATATATAGATATAATAATTTAGGTTTCCTTTATGATACCACTGAGATTTGGCATTCTTATACATCTTTTTTGAAAGTTCTCCTTATGGAAAAGACAAGCAAACCATTTGAAAGGATGCACTAATAATTTCAACTCCATGCAGTGTACTTACTCTTTTCACATATCCCTCCGGCCCTTATGTGAATAATTATACTATTGAAAGAAAGTAAGATGGAAACTCAAAAGTGCAAGTTGTTACTCTTTTCACATATCCCTCCGGCCCATATGATGATATGAAATTTGAACAAAGTGATGAAAATGTTATTTCTCTACAACTTGAGGGACTGTTTGTGACAAAAAAAAAGGTGTCATTTACCTAAAAGAATAAGAAAACATTCTCACATTGGTTATGCTGCTTTGAATTTTTTAAGTAGTGGATAGGACCAAAAACCGATAGGTGCAAGTAACATAGGTGGGCACTATGGCTTTTTGCGACAGTTATAGGAGCGGTGGTGGAGATGGTGATTGTAGGACCACCCAACTAGCTATTAACGATGCACATCAAAGTAGACAACTTGAAAGGGAACTAGTCAAACACCATAATTACACCAAGATTTTTCACCTTTCACATATATTTTTTTTATTTCCATTGTGCATATGTGAAAAATAAAACGTGCAAAATCAGTAAATCAGGTATACAACTAGCGTATTAAAAAACTGAAATTATGATTTTTTTGTATGATTAAATAATAGTGATGGGTTTTAGGTTATGTCTAGTTAGGTATTAATACTTTACTATTATTATTAGGCAGCCTAATTACTTGTTATTTGGATGTTAGTGCCACATTTCACTTTATAAAGAAGAATATTCTTTGGTTGGGAACTACTTTTAGGAATATATACTCTGTTAAACTATACTTGCCATTTTATACAATACTTAAGATTCTTTAAAACAGGTCATATAACTAAACCTCGATTTCAATCATTTTCTTGACACATGTTAGTTCATTACCGATATATAATATAATATATTTATGAGCTTAACTACAGAAAATTTTCGAATCAACAAACGTAGAAGCACTAAATCCAGAAAAAAAGTGACCCGCTTTCATTGATTTCTTTAGTATAACATCCGTACTTTTATTTCGCTATTGCAACATTATACTTCGATAAATCTATCCAATTATTGCAGTCTCATCTTTTTTTTTTTTTTTTTTTTTCACCTCCTTATCACTAGAGCAATAATGACATACCACATTTTGAGAATACAATTAAGTTTTTAGTATTTTGCTCAACAAATATTTTTTTTTTCTCATCAATAGATAAATAATGAACAGATTCTACCAACTAAAACACATAATCAAAGAACTACAACCTAAGTGAATCATCGTAATCACGCCTTCATCCTACAAACTTTAATAAACTCTCATAGTTACTTACACTGCTAGAAAATCTGGCATCAGACGAATTATCGACAAATTAACAACAAATAATCCAATGCTAATGCCCATTTTTCCAACAATGTTAAAACATATAATTAATAAAATCTCACGCAAGTTTAATAGTTCCCTTGAAAAACCGTACCCAAGTGTCCATACTGAGGCCCATACGATGAGCTTCCGTGAAGTGGTGCCATCATTATACCACCGCCATTAGGGTGGCTCCATTGGTACAATGCTTTTTCCATATGGTGGTTTGTGGTGGGGTGGTGGTGGTGGTGAGGTTTTGGTGGTGGTGTTACCATGGTGGTGCATTCAGCTGGTTTTGGACATGTGTCATTTTCCGGTAACTTTGTAGGGTCGTTAAGGTGCACTGTGGTGATGTCGTGAATGCTTGACCTTCTTTTATCTTTGCCTCCTGACAGCTGGCGAATGAAGTACTTTTGAGCATGACTAGCAACTTGGGTAGGTGTTCTTGTTGTCACAAAATTGCGTGAGATATTTCTCCAATCCCCTTTACCATACTTTTTCAACCCCAAAAGAAATTGTCTAAAATGAAAATTTTAATTAAACTGAATCAGAGAACTTTTCTGGTGGTTTAAATAAAACATTGTTTTTCTTTTCTTATTATAGTATTGTACATTCAAATATCAGCATTGTACTTTCAATATTTTTCTTATTAAGACATTGTACATTGAAAATTGTTTCCAGTTATAACAACGAAAATTGATTTGTATTTGGATGACATTGCTATAACTAAATAGGATTTTCATTGTATAATCTTGTAACAGGAAGAAATTAAAATAGGATGCTATAATAAATTTAGCTAAGTATTGTAGCTAACTACTTTCATTTTTTTTTTCTTGTGCGACATTGTATTTTCGATTTTTTTTTCTTATTAAAATCATTGTATTTTAAAAAATGTACCTAACTATAACAGTGAAAATTGATGAAATTACTATAATCAGGTAGATTTTTCAATGTATAAATAACAAAGGAAAGTAGGATGCTACACTAAACTAATCAATCAAAGTACGCCCCTATTTGTTGTATCTAATCCTTTTAAATATCAAATCATTCAGTAGTGGCTCCTTAATTAAACCTTCATTTATCACACATAATCTTAGACTATATTCCGTGACATTCTTATTATTTAGTTAATCTTATGCATTTCTGGAATACTACCATCCTTAATATTGCATTTGTTACACGACACACCACTCGAAAAGCTGTCCAAGGCTATTTTCAATGACGAGGGCATTCACGTCTTTTGCACAGACGATAGATCAAGATCGAATCTGTGTCTGGTACAAAAGTTACAGTTTTTGTCATATATTGACTGAGTCTCTATCCAATCCAATGCACACAAAACACAATACAATAATGCTACCATGCCTAACATAACAAACAGGGCCTAAAAGAAAATCAAGTTTAAGATAATATTATAAGTTTACCTGTGTCTTCTTCTGTCCACGGAATTCCTTTTTTCTTTTCCTGATCAGGAAGCCTACTTCTCTTTCCTCCATGACTATAAAACTGAGGGTGATTATCCACCACCCATTCAAGTGTCATAGCATTAGCATCACTACAACTATACCCAGGCACAACCAACACCCCTGCTTCAATCTCACTAATATCTTCTTCCAGTTTTCTATACTGATGCATCACATCACTCACACTTTTCCCCGGAATCAATCGCGCCACATTCTGCCACCTGTCGGGGGTTTCTTTATCGAACAGAGCTAATGCATCTTCAAACCGTTTATTCTCTTCCGGGGTCCATTTCGTCTTTTCCATACCCTCGAAGAACATCGTCGAACCCATGAAATACGAAGATCGAGACGCAATTTCATCCATTCTCGAAATAAGATTTAAATTTGATAAATAAGCATTTAACTGATGCGCCACGTGAAATAAAAAGGTTTGAAGAATACCTTATAATGAAACGAGAAAAAAGGAGAGAATTATAGGAGTAGGGAGAATTGGAGTGAGTGAGCTTAAAGAAGTGAATCCAAGTTTGTCAGCAAGAAAACTGTACTTGATTGAAAGGGGGGGGGGGGGGGGGGGGAGAGAGATGTGAATTGGGAGATATATAATACCAAAAGGAGGGGGTTTAATTAATGTGAGGTGGTTAGATATGATTGGGTGGTATGTGCTTGTGGGGTCTTGTGCTGAAATAAAAGTATTTAATTGGCCAATCAAAAGCTAAAGACAACAATCTGTCATTGGTGAAGCAGATGCACATGGGTTTTATGGTAATTTACACAGAAAGTTGAAAAAGTTTGGCAGTAGTAGTGTTGACATTTAGCTGTGAGGTTTTAGGAATGGTTTTCAATTATTGTGGTCATACCTTTTCTTTCAATGAGAACTTGCCCTCCACTATACCCTTTATATCAACAAAATTCACGAATCATGTTGGTTGTGATAGTCTATAATTTCATTTCTGTCCATATTATATCACATAAAAAACTATTAATAATCTCAATTTATAAGGGCTCTCGAATAAACAATCATTTGTAACATGTCTCCTTTTATTCATAATTTTAAGGGACTATTTGGCATCATTTATTACACCACACAAAACATAACATAATGGTTTTACACTCTGTTTGTCATGCATTGTAATGAGACTTAGACTGAACTGAGCTTCCGATCTTTCATTTGTAAAAAAAACTTAAATACTATTTTCATCTTCGTTATCAAAAATAGTTATAGAAAACTTATGTAGCCTATAAGATCCTACTTCAGATTAGAATTCCTTAAAAGATTTATATAAACCATACGTATATGTCCTTTTGTTCACTACTTTTGATGTTAAAATAACATAGTGGTCCAAATCGACCACCTTAGATGAATGATTAATAGTCCCTTCCTTCATGCTTGTTTGACTAAGTATTACAACAACTTCTACCTGGTTATTCAGTGAAAAAAAGGACATATATCATGAGCTCACTGACTCTTTCTGTTAATAGGATCCTAAGCTAATTTTATAGCATCAAGCTAGTGTTAGATCCATTTTACCCATAAATCTAAGGATGAAAGCAATGAGGTCACTTTTCTTACCAAGGCTGAGGGTATACCTCTTTTTATCTTTCACTTTTCTTTCTCATCTCAAAACCATCTCTTTTTCCATCCACTTTGTATTTTAGCTATAATTTTTTTTTTGAAAAAAAAAATCTGAAAAAACAAAAGTTCTTAAAATTTAAATCTCTATAAAATGAGCAATGAAAATTTGAAAAAAAAATTATTTTTTTATTTTTTGTAAAAAACACAAAAAAAAAATTCTCCAAAAATCATAAAAATTTAAGAGATACTTCTACTCAATATACTAGTCACTTTGAAAAAAGAATTTTTCAAAATAAGTTTTTGAAGTATTTATTTTTAATTTTAAGAAATATTAATTTTTAAAAAATATATATTGAACATAATATGATGCAAAATGTGATAATTCAAAATATTTATGATTCAAAATTTTTTTTTGATTCAACTTGTTTAAGATCCTTAATTTGTTATGACTTATGATCTAAAAATATTTAGACTCGAATATTTTATAATCTTTAATTATATATTTTATTGTTCAAAATTAAATGATTTAAAATATATAATGATCTATAATTTTTTTTGAACAAAAGCTATATTTAATTGAATATGTTATTGATCCGATATCATATAATTCAAAAATTATTTGATTCAAAATAATTTGATTCAAAGTTTATGAATCAAAAATAATATGATTAAAAAAAATATGAATGGAAAATATTATGATCTTTCATATACTTCTTAATTAAAATTTTATAATTGTTAAAAATTAAAAATTCAAACCAATATTTAGTTTAAATAATCAAAAAATCTAAAATCTAAAATAAAAACAAAAATAAATAAAAATACTAGTACCTTCAAGTATGTAGTAAAAATATTTAAAAATAAAAGAAAGAAAAAAAACGAAAAAAAAAAAAGAAATAACTTTTTGAAAAAAACAGTAAAAAGAAACGTAAAAAAATAAAATTTAAAAAACGAAAAAAAAATAAAAAAGTCAAAACAGAGCATTTATCTATTTAATTTTTTTAGCAAAAAAATAAATAAATAAATAATAAAAAACGAAAATAAATAATAAAACCCGCTTAAATGACGTTCAATGACGTTCGCCGTGCGTGATTAAATCCACGAGTCCGTATTAGTTACCACGGACGTGGGTCGCATGCGAACGCACCACAACGAATATATTGGGTTTGACGTTTGTGTCATTGACGAAATGAGTGGTGGAAAATTGTCCTCACCATTTTTTGAGTCCTCAGCGGAATGCGAAAACATAAATTTTGCGAATACACGAAAAACATATTATATCTTATAAAAATCAAACACATGTACTTTAGAAATTTAAATTTATTAACAAGATAATAAGTTTAAATGAAAGGGTGCTATGATGATATAGATTTAAAGGTGGTTTTAACAACCGTTTTTCTCTTTTTTTTCACGTTGTTAACCACTTTTAAATTCAAGTTTTTATAATAAAAATGTCAAAAAACATGTTTTCCTAATATGAAACAATTTCTCATGTATCATCGATTTTCATCATATAGTTCAAAATTTGGATGAATTATTGTCTAAAATATAAGGTTGGAAGTGACACAATCTCATATGTTTTCTTTGTTTTTACGTTTTCGCAAATTATTTGTGTTTTCGCATGAGTCATCCCCTATATATATATATATATATATATATATATATATATATATAATATATTATACTCTTTTTGTATAGATTAAAAACCATAAATTTTAATATATTTTTTATAATTTTTTAGTATATATATAATTTAATAAATATTATAAAAAATGAAAAAAAAACATATATTTATACTAGCGGTTGCCCAATCAAGAGAGAAAAGAGAATGCGTGAAAGGTATCTGTTCGGAAAACAACCGCACCCATGGTGTGGCTTTCATGGGTGCGATTCAACAAACTGCATAATAAAACGAGATGTAGTATATTGTATGGCCTGATGTAGAAACATTTCACTCTTTATCCGTTTAATAAAAAAATATTTCATTTTTAACCAATTTATGAAACTAGGTTTCAGATTTTACTTATAACTGATATGAATTATAATGGTAAGAGCATAAATATATGTTCTATAACAAACACTTTCTTGCATTCCATAAACTTGGAGAATTTTAAAAGATTCATTTTGATAATACCCCTTGTTGAGTTCCGAACAATTATTGTAATTTGTTGATTGCTTTTTACCAAAAAAAGGTTTGATCGATATTTTGGTATTAAATCTTAAACTTTTTTTTTTAAGAGAAAAGACCTAGTATTTTCCATTTTTTTGATTTGGCCCTTTAAGTGGGTTAACTGTTTAATCTTCCTGTTTTAGACAAAAAAAAAAAAAAAAAAAACCAAAAAAATAAAAAAACCAAAAAAAATCTATAACTTTTTTTGTACAGACCTTTTTATATATATATTAATATATATATATATATATATATTATATATATATATATATATAGAGAGAGAGAGAGAGAGAGAGAGAGAGAGAGAAAGAACCCACATTTTTTCTTTTAAACCAACTTTTTCATTTTAACAATTAGTTCTTATGTTTCTGTAACATCCAGTTTCGGGATGTTCATGATTTCAGGAAAACGGACGTAATTTGATCGAGTGAAAGGCATTGGGTTTCAAAGGAATAGAGTTTAAACCTTATCGGATGTTGATAATGTTGGTTAAGTGATTTAAGTTCTTTGAATCGTGCGTTGGAGCCAAATGGGTAAAATGAGAAAAGTGATATTCAGTACTTTTATGTATATTAATAAATTAAGTTATGTATGCTTAAGCCAAAAGTAACTGGATAAAATTGTGGGACTTTTCAATACCTACACGTGCATATAAAGATCACTGAAAAATGGAGTTAGA